GACCAAACCTATAGAAACAAGCCTGTAGAGTGTCCTCTTAATTAATAATTGATAGGGAAGGCCTAGCCCATTGTGGGTGGAGCCATCCCTGGGCAGGTTCTATAAGAAAGCAGGCTGAGCAAGCCAGATGAAGCAAGTTCATAAACAGCACCCTCCCTGACCTCTACCTCAGCTCTTGCCATTCCTGTTCTGATTCCTTTCTGTAATGAACAACAATATAGAAATGTGGGCCAATAAACCCTTTCCTCCCTAAATTGGTTTGGCCATGGTGTTTTGTCACAGCAATAGAAGCTAAATAAGGTAGAATGAAAGGGGCCAATAAGATATGACGACCTTTGATGTATTATAACTGTTACATAAACAACATACATAGCATAAAATAATTATTAAAGCAAACAAAGCCACAAAATGCTTATCACATACCCAGAAAACAAGTTCTGGAAGATGTGTAGAAAAATTAGAATTCTTGCACATTATTACAATAGTAATGTGTAATTACATAGTAACTGTAGAAAATGGTGTCTTAAAAATATAATTTTATGGGCTAGAGAAATGGCTCAGTGGTTAAGAGCACTGGCTACTCTAACAGGTCCTGAGTTCAATTCCCAACCACACGGTGGCAACCACATGGTGGCTCACAACCATCTGTAATGGGATCCGATGCCCTTTTCTGGTGGGTCTGAAGACAGCTACAGTGTACTCACATACATAAAATAAATAAATACATCTTTTAAAAAGTGTACACAGTTTTACTGGGCCAGTGAGATGGCTCAAGTGAGTAAAGGTATTTGCTGCCAAGTTTGGTGATGGAGTTCAGTCCCTGTAACCTGCATAGTAGAATGAACGAACTGACTCCCGAATGTTACCTCCATCTTCCACTGACTGCGTGCCCACACCCTAACACAGAGAAACTAAGTAAATGTTTAATATAGAACATAACCAATAACCCAGAAGTTCTGTTTCTGAGTTGAAAGCAGGAAGTGGGATATTTTAGTACACACCTATAATCCAGTATTTTGCAAGGTGACTTGGGCTTTATAATAATACCCTGTCTTAAAAACAAATAACCAAAAAGTTGAAACAAAGAATTATAACATAAATATTCTTTATAACATACATACCAAGCATTTGTGCCTATTCCTGAGGACAGCATCTCATGGCAAACAGAAAAAGAAGGCCTAGTGTGCACAGTGTCTGAATGCAGAAACAAAAGCTGCCCTTAGAAAGGAAGGGATTCTTCACCAACCTCAGCATGAATGAACCTGAACATACTAAAGGAATGAGCCAGGCACAGAGGGACAGACATGAACTGTCGATCATTGAATTCTTAGACGGCAGATAGACAGTAGTTGCTATAGGAAGAGAAGGGGCTTATAGAAGGGTCGAGGAGACATCAAGGGTGCCTCTATATGTGCTTAGTCTTACTGATTTATGTGTGTATGTCTGTTGGGGGTACTGCCCCTCTAGAGCTAGTTTCAGGCAGTTATAAGCTACGCAGTCTGGTACTGAGATCCAAACTCAGATCCTCTGCAAGAACTGTTTGGGCTCTTAACCACTGAACTGTCTCCAGCCTCACTTTTTGTTTATATTTTAACACACACACACTCACCTTGGGTAGATGTATAAAGGAATCGCTGGCCCAGGACCCACCAAAGTGTGTGCTGGTGTCTTTGTGCACATCTAATGTTCTGCTACTCGGTCTAAAAGTGAAGTGTATGTCACGCAAGGTTGTTGAGGGTAAAACAAAATAATGTAAAGATTCCAGATGTAGGATAGTAAACAATATTTCCTTCTCTCAAAAAAAAATCAAGGGCTTAGGCTTATAAGTATATACTATAGAAACAAGTAAAAGGTTGTACGTGCCACACTTTTCACCAGATGAGAAATTTACTTGCTGTATTCAACATACAAAACATGTCTGGGTTTGTATTCAGTTCACTCATTGTTTATTTTATGTGTGGGAATTGAAATATATAAACAGTAGTCAAAGAACAATCACAGTTTGCATGTTGCAATCTTCAGCAAGATCTCTTCTGCAGCCTGAATTAAAAGCATGTTTATTAGAGATTAAATAGCTCTCCAAAGAACAATGCCTGGGCCTTCATGACAGACAGCAGTGCTCAGGGGAGGCAGCCAGGGCTTGCATCGTGAGGGGACTGAGGAGCTGATTTAGTCTAGCTCTCATCTTTTCCACAGTAACAGAACTTTCTTGAAGCAATTTCTAGTAAGAGGAAAGTCAGTTTTAAGGTTAAAAATCTCTTTTTTGAACTTACTTTCAAAATATTCAGTATTTAATATTTTTCTTACATTTTCCTTTGAATTATGTGTTGTAGGTACATGTTGGTGTGTATGCACATGTATGTAGAAGCCAGAGGATGATGTTTGGTATTACATATGTTGTATATGTTCATGTGAGTGTGTGTGTGAGAGAGAGAGAGAGAAAGAGAGACAGAGAGAGACAGAGAGAGAGAGTGCGTGCTGGAGATTAACATTAGGGTCTTCCTCAAATCACTTCTGTCTTATTTCCTGAGATAAGGTCACTCACTGAACCTGCAGTTCACTTACTTGGTGAGGCTGGCTAGCCAAGGAACTCCAAGGACCCTCCTACCTCCCTTCTCAGTGCTGGAATTACAGGTGCACACTGTCAGACCTTGCCTTTTTTTTTTTTTTTTTTTGCATGAATACTAGGGTTCCAAACTCAGGTCCTCATGCTTCCATGGCAAGCAGTCCACTAGCTGAGCCAGTCCCCAGCCCCTGGTGATTTCTTTGGTGGTGTTAGGATGAAAGTAAAGGTACTAGCAATCATGATCCTATACCCTGTGGTGGAAATAGTCACCCTGTGGGATGCGAAGTCAAGTCTCCAACTTCTGTTTCTTCTTTAGGAAAATAATTCTGAGTCATTAAAGTTAGAGATTCACAAAGTGAATGCAGGTTTTGGTGTCAGTTTAGACCTAGCCTTCTTTCTAAGGTGACGACATATTGCTCAGTTAACTATAAAGCAGAGAAAGTGTCCTTTGTGACCTGCGTATTTTCCACCCTTTTAGAACATGAGTATTTCAGAACTCTGGCACCCAGGTGCTTTGGAGAGTTTACCTAATTGGAACCTAACACCTAGACTTGATCTAGGTGTCACGTGGGGAGGATATTTTGAGTCCTTCTGAAGACATGCTACAAAGCCTGACAGAATGCCTGGGCGACTCTGAATCTCTCCTTTCAACTTGTCTATCTTCTCATCGGGTACAGTGAACAACCAATGTATTTCAGTGGAGTTCATCTTACAGTTTTTCTGGATAAAAAAAGAGGCTAAAGGAAGCACACAGCCTAAGGATGCAGGCCAGAAGACGTCCTCACAAGCATCCCCATGCTCTGATGAACCTTCAAGTTATTAGCACTTCACTCTCAAATACTGCTGTGCTGGTCAGTGCACCAGGCAGACTATAAGAACATAAATGTGTAGTTCAAAATTTAAATATTTGATTCTGCTTCGTATACCAATTATACAGGAGTCAAAGACTGTGTTCCCTGTAAAACCACCCAGAGATACTTACTTCTTTCTAGGTAATAACCATTAACATAAGGCCATGTCCCATAAGGAAGTCCCACCTTTTACTTGGCTGGCTACAGGTTTGTCAGGGAGCCAGACATCTTAGTATTGAAGAACTCAGGATGAGTCCCTAACTGCCATTTCTGGATGAAATTAAACTGACCACAGCTATCTTTACAGAGTCCCGTACAGTGTCTCAATGTTAATAATCACAAGCTAAAATGAATAGTAGAAGCTAGCCTTAAGGAGTGTGGTCTTGTGCAGCCATGTGTGCAGTCATGTGTGCAGCCATGTGTGCAGTCATACACTCACTCAGACAGTCACAGCTGGGCTTGAGGGCAACTTCTGAGGAAAAGCCGCAACAGTGCCATTCATCAGTTAAACAAACGTTTATTGCTTATACACACCAGGTTTCATAGTTCTTGTTGCTAATAGCACTCCAGGTTTAGTTTACTATTTTAAATACTTGCACAGGAGAACTGATTTTGATTGTTGCTATAATGCATTTGAGGGTTGTTTAAGGAACTGAAGCACATGACACTGACACACAGGGGTGACGCTGTGATGATGACATATGTGGAGTAACGTACTAGTGAGTACTAGTGAGAAGGAAAGAGACCTTCTGCAGCTTCTCTGACTTCCACCCCACCCCAGCTCCATGCTGCTGCTCACTAGGGAGGGCAAAGCCCAGCATCTGTAAAAGAATCTCCAGGATGCCATGAGGCAGTCTCCTGGGAATGCATTATTCAGCTTCTCTTTTGAAAAACACAGGAATGTGGGTCAGTTAGCGTCAGCTCCGAGGCAGAAGTCTGAGGTGTGTAGCACATTGAAGGCCCTGGGGATGACACAAACCTTCACTGAGATGCTGCCAGCTGCTGGGGGCCAGACCTGTCTAAACAGAAAGCTTTAGAAATGCCCTTGTATTGTTTTGAATGTTTTTATGAGTCTTGAATTTTTTTCCAAAAATAAGGATGGTTCTGATCATATTTTTGAGGGGGAAAAAACTAAAACCAGTATCATACATCAGTCTAACCTTACTTAATTTCAGCTATCCATTACTACAGAGGTAAGTGGTAAATAATCTGCTTCATCAAGATCCTAGGCTCAATAGTATATTTTTGTTTCATTTTTGTAGACTGATTTTTTATATTACTAAGTTTTCATACATTTTTAACTAAGACAGAATTACATACTTACCTCTTCCTTTCCTCCTTTGAGCCCCTTCCAGGGCTCCCCCTCCATCATCCCCCCATTCTCAAATTGAGAGCCTCTTATGCTTTATCATTGTTACATACATGTGTATGTGTATGGAGGTGTGTCCAAACATAAGACCGAGCTGGTGAGTCCGTTTCTGTTGTCTATATAAATACAGTTTGAGGCTGACACGCTGCTGCACTGGGGCGTTCTATTATTGCAGTCCTCTATAGTCACTTATCTTTTCTGCCTTTTCCAACAGTTTACCTCAGTGCCCCCAGCAGTTCCTGAATTCTTGAAAACCCCTCTAACTGCGGACCAGCCTCCCACAAGGACTACAGCTCCTGTCCTCCCCACAAGCACTGTGTCCTCAACGAAGTCTGGCCCGACACTGGTGAAGGTGGGTACCCAGGACTCCACTCAGTGGCTCTGTCTCAAGCCTATGGACACTAAACAGAGGCATGTGTCTTGACCTCCCACCTACTTTCTCACTCAAACCTTGAAAACTAAACTGTAATGCTTGCTAGGCTGAGTCAACATATGACCTGTCCTCACTGTAACAGAGAAACGACAGAGAGCTTAGCTTGTCTGAAGTGCTGTGCTATGAGGTATCCTTCAGGAATCCTCCCATCAGCTGCCCTGCCCAGCTAAGCACATCAGATGACTTGTTTCAGCACAGCACCGGAGGAACAGCCTCACATAGGTGTCTTTTATAACAGCCAGCTTTGGGAATAACTTACGCACAAAGTGAAGCAGCTCTATGGTATCCAGATGATAGTATACACTGCTCAGAAGCTCTGGAGAGGTTTTTGGGTTAGCCACTTCAGCCAGAAGCAGCTTGGCGTGATCTCAGATAAGCCCAGTTCATGGCACTGTTCCCCAAAGTGCACTTCATTGAAATAATTCAGTTAGAATAAAGCTCAAAAGAAGAAGAAAAAAACCTTAAATATACATTTTAAATACATTTAAATTTTTAAAATACATTTTAAAAATTCTTTAAGGTCCTATAATAAAGTGGTAGGAGAACCAGGAATAGTTTAATCATTTCATAGATGTCTCTTCCTAAAATTGGCAGTGTACATGTCTCAGAGCTCATGAACTATGTAGGATATTATTGTTAGCTAACCTTACCATCATGAAGAGACTGACCCTCAAATACGTTAAGAAGCAGTGTGGCCAGAAAGGTCCGATCTCCCAGGTTCTACTACAGCCTTTTTCTGCCCTGATGGTCAGGCAGCACTCAGTTATAGGACAAAGGCATGCCTTTCAGATGAATATAGTCTTCTTTCCCACCCTCCCACCAAGGCTCCCTGAGACAGTGTCACTCTAACTCCAGGGCACCTTTCCCCAGCTTAGTACTGGAACCAGGAATATCAACAACGATGCCACTTAACTTCTATTGCAGTATCTCCTCCACCACCCTGTATCCCTTAATGACACAAAAAGAGCCAGGATGCCAGCCTGTCCTTGTAACCTCTCTCCTCCTCTGCTTCCCTAGTATCTCCTTTTAGGAAGGGCTTTAACTCCAGGGAGGAAACACCAAGGATGCCTGTGCAGTCCCAGAGAAGGCAGAGGGAGGGCTATATTAATGACTCCTTCAGGGAGGCTTAAGTGCCGTGCTGGAGGGTGTGTAATAAACTCAGCAGGCTGAAAGGCAAGTAGCCACTCCCACCAGAACCACCAGCTTCAAGTCCACTGTGTGATGTTCCAAGCGCAGATTATGGAAAAGATGCACGCTGAGCTCTCGTGACTCAGTCCGTAGCCTGTTTCTATTCGCTGTTTGTAACCCTGCTATAAAAGTCATGCCAGAGAACCATTCTCTCATGACATCTAGTCTGCAGGGAGGGGAAGGCACCTTCCCAGTGAGTGTACACTTTACACTAGCATTCAACAGGAAGGATGTGCCCCGGTGTGTTAACAGCTCCAGTGTCCACTCTAGAGCTTCTTTGGTTATGACCATGTATATGTAGCTTATTCAGAAGATCTAGTCAGTTGTCTATGACTAAAGCAGCTTAGGAATGACATCCTCTTTTTGTCTGGGTTTTTTTCATTATTTTGTATTTGTGTGTATATTTGTCTTCATGTATATATGTGTACTATGTGAGTGCTCCAAACCCATGTATTCTGCAAGAGCAGCCAGTACTCTTACAGCTGAACCACCTCCCTAGCCCACTATTTTGTTGCATTTTGTTTTTTGTCTGGTTGTGGCTTTTTCTTTTATTGAAAATAGATGTTTTTCAAACAGTATATTCTGATCAAAATTTCTCCTCTCCCAACTCTTGAAAGATTCTCCCCATCTTTCCTCCCTACTCTCTTTCTGTCTCTCATTAGAAAACAAACAGACATCTAAAGAATAATAAGATAAGACAAAACAAAAATACACCAGATTAGGGCAAGCCAAACAAACTTGGTCTGTTTTTATTGTTTTTTCTTTTCAGATGAAGATGTAGTATGAATGCCAAAAGGCAGAGGATGGTCTGATGATTTCGAAACTGAGCAGAACAAGTCGGGAAAGTTACCTTGTCAGTCATAAGCTAGGGCAAGAATGTGCTCTTACCATCCCTGACTAGCTTACAGATGAGTGAGGGTCACAGTCAGTTACTAGGGGGCACTCCTATTCTGCTTCTCTAACTGCTGGCCTGGCTACCTCCCCATCCGTGTACCCCAGACACTTGCTGCTGCTTCTGGCCATGTGCTCAGTGTGTACCTCCCCTCTTGGCGGCTTCCTCCTCCCCTCATTCTTCCTCTTCCTCCTCTTCTCAACTCTGTCTCCCCTAACCAGGTCACTTCAAACCCAAATCCCTCCTGTAATTAGCTGTAGCCAAGTTTCTTTAACCAATGGTTTTAAATCAAGGAAGAAGGTTTGCACAACAAAAGCTTGTGTAAACTTGAGAAGGCCTAGGCCTTTTGGTATACAGTTCAGTATTATTACAATACATAGCAACAGACCATACCTCAGCACTTAGTATTCTGAATTCTTTATTTTCCTTAAAACTACTTATGTAGTCTATCTTATTCTTACTAGAAGGAAGCATTTATTTATTTTTCCATAGCTGTATTTTTGTTTGCACTTGGTGGTGGTGCTAGTGGTGCTACTGGTGGTGGTGGTGGTGTTGGTTGGTTGGTTGGTTGGTTGGTTGGTTGGTTGGTTGGTTGGTTTTAGTATTTGGTTTTTCTGACAGGGTTTCACTGTGTAGCCCTGCCTGTCCTAGAACTCACTCCAGGACCAGGCTGGCCTTGAACTCACAGAGATCCAACTGCTTCTGCCTCCTGAGTGCTGGGATTAAAAGCATGTGCTCATAGCTATATTCTTTTAATGTCACACCATAGTAGTGACATAATCATTTCCCTATTATACATACAGTGCACAACCTGTTCTTCACTAGGAGATAGTGTACGTAAGTATCTTTGTATCTCTATGCAGGGAGCCAGAGTAGATGTCTGTTATTTGTATTGGCAGTGCCAGATCAAGCATCTTGGCTGAGTCAAGGGAGCAATGTAGAATGAAAGTCTTTACATCAAACTAAGTCTGCAGTTGTCTTTATGGTTCTTTGTTTTGAGATAGAGTCTTATATAGACTGGCCTCAAGAGTCTGTAGCCAAGGCTGACCTTGAACTCCTGATCCTCCTGTTTCTACTTTCTGAGGGCTGGAATTACAGGCCCAGGTTCCTGAAATGTATTTCATGTATTCCTTGCCAAGGCCACTCTAAGGCACACTGCTGTTTTACTTGGGAATCACTGAGACGCATGCTGTCATGTATGTTTCACTCCTGGACACACACACACACACATTCTCTTTCTCTCTTTCTGTCTCTCTCTCTCTCTTTCTCTCTCTTTCTCCCTCTCTCTCTTCTTCCCTCCCTCCCTCCCTCCCCCCCTCTTTGTTTCTTATTTTTTTCCCATCAATAGATGGGTTTATTTAGTAGTAAGTTTGAAACTCTTGCTTTAAGCAAGGGTACTACAGTAATTTTATCAGGAACAGACATTTCCTACACTGTCAAATATATAAAAGCTCCTTTGCACTTTTAACACTGATCAACAAGCAGATTCATTCCATGTTACTCTGACATGTCTTAAAATGTTCTCGTTTTTATTATTTCCTCAAAACTTAGCAAAGCCATCCCAAAAATCCAAATGACAAGCACCGTAGCAAAAAATGCAAAGATCCGAAACCCCGAGTGAAGAAGCTTAAGTACCACCAGTACATTCCACCCAACCAGAAAGGGGAGAAGAGTGAGCCACAGATGGACTCCAACTATGCCCGCCTGCTCCAGCAACAGCAGCTCTTCCTACAGCTGCAGATCCTGAGCCAGCAGCAGCAGCAGCAGCAGCAACAGCAACACTACAACTACCAGACCATCCTGCCTGCACCCATCAAGTAAGCTTGTGCTCGAGGATTTGTCCTGGCATGACTTGTACCCCCACTTTGGGAGGATCCCAAGTTACAGAAGGTTGGGTGTGGCCAAGTATTCTGCTCAGGGACCAACCTCACTTGGCTGTGGTCCAGGCTCACCACACAGTATCTGAAGTCCCACAGTGAATGTGGCCTCCCATCTAGTCCAGCATTTGCCCTCCAGTAGTCTCTGAACCTTTCACAACTATTCAGGACCCATCAGTATCAACTGCTGTGAGAAAACCCTCAGGATGCATACCCACCTGCATGGAAGAAGCAAGGGCAGAAAGGCAGGAGGAAGGGAAAGGTTTGTGGGAAAGAGGAAGGGCGTGCAGTGGTGCCGAGACCAGCCACCTGGTGGGGCCCATACTTAGTTTCTAAGACAGGTGAAAGGCAGTGAGTAAGGAGAGCTGTCTGCAGTAGACTCTATTCCATATGGCAGACAGTGCAGTGTCTGTGACAGTGGGAACTGGGTAAGACTGAATCATTAAAGACAACAGTTGGATGCTGATAGTGAAAGAGCCTGGAAATGTTCAGGGGCAAAGGGGCCATGACAAGGTAGTGACAGGATGGGTCAGAGGTGATATAGAGGGAGTAGTGTGCATGCCTAGGACCAGAGAAGGATAGCATCTACACAGCTTGAAATCTGGCCTAAGGCCAAAGCAGGCAAGTTTATACCCTCAACTTACTGACCAAAAAATGTTTTAAATATTTATCCCATTATGCTTTTTCTGAATAGAAAACTCTATCTTTCACTTCCCACTTATCCAGCTCTGTAGAGAAAACTAGGGAAAGACAGAAAGCTTGTCATTAGAAAAAATACTCTGAGTGAACTGTTCAGTAAGACCCCCACTGACCCTGTGTGTAGGTCCAGGCCACTTTTCAAGGAAACCCACTAAAAGATGCTGTTATAAAATGATAGCTCCCATAGGGGAATGACTATCAATTTGCTTCTCCTAAGATAAAAATATTATGATGAAGACTAAATCCTTTGGTAATTTCAGCTGTATTGTGAAGCACGGTGCTTAAAACATCAGACTATGGAGATGGAAAAGCGTTTCTGTAACGTGTTGTTATTTAAGAGCAAGCATGCCCAAGTGAGCTGTTAACAAGGGATCCAGGAAGTCCACAGAGAGTTGGGACGGGCCACAAGCAGCTGTCATTGTGTTTTACCTCTAAGCCCTGGGCAGCATTCCAGTGTCACAACAGTGGCAACTGTGGCTCCGAGTGTGACCCACAGTATGCTCACAGTTCATGTCGCCATTGCCCTGAAGAGTCAGTGAGATTGCTCCTTTTTATTCCGTTCTCAGTGAGGAAACTGAAACTGGAAATTCCTCAAAAATGATTTTCCTGTGATGTCTGCCTGGGAATTATCCTTGTAAAAGTAAACGGACACACATGCAGGCAAAGCATCCATGCACATAAAAGAAAACTTCTAACAATTTTTAAGATTTACTGTTGTATGTGTATGAGTTTTCTACCTGCATGTGTCTGTGGACCATGTGCATGCCTGTGCCTGAGGAGGTCAGAAAGGGCATTTGATCCCCCAGGACTAGAGTGAGAGGCAGTTGTGAACTGCCGTGTAGGGCTGAAAATGAAACCCAGGTCCTCTACAAGAACAAGTGCTCTTGAGTGCTGAACTTACTCTGCAGCCCCCAAATAAGACTTAAACAGCTTACCCCTTTACCTGAGAGGAGGGTATCTAAGGCATAGGACTGCAGGCTCCACAGACCCTGGCATTCCCTGAGGCTTCAGCTCCTCTCCATAAGCATCATCCACTACCACAACCAAACCACCTACCCCAGGAAGAGAAAGAGCCATCTAATGCCCTGTGATATTTTAACTATAGGAAGACTGAACTCAAATTCTGGCCAGTTCCTAGATCTGAAAATGAGGAGTTTGTTTTCCAATACACTGTTAATCTTTACCAAAGATCCATCACAACCAAACAGAGATACAACCAGGTCTGGTCAGTACCACACAGTCCCAACATGAGGGAAGGGAAGGTTGTAGGCTACACGTTCAAGTCTAGCCTAGGTCATATCACAAGACCCTATCTCAAAAACAAGACAAAAGCCTGAAGCTCTGAGAGAGCAATATCTGCGCCTCCTTGTTACCATAGGAACAAGTCTGTAGAAGCCCACCTTAGGACTCAGAACCTCAGGACCCTAATCTATGATTTGGGTGAAAAGAGAATTCAGCTTTTAAAATAACAGAAGGGACTGGAGAGATGGCTCAGTGGTTAAGAGCACTGACTGGCTGGACAGTGGTGGCGCACACCTTTGATCCCAGCAGTTGGGAGGCAGAGACAGGCGAGTTTCTGAGTTCGAGGCCAGCCTGGTCTACAGAGTGAGTTCCAGGACAGCCAGGGCTACACAGAGAAACCCTGTCTCGAAAACAAAACAAAACAAACAAATAAACAAACAAAAAAAGAGCACTGACTGCTCTTCCAGAGGTCCTGAGTTCAAATCCCAGCAACCACAACCACCTGTAATGGGATCCAATACCCTCTTCTGGTGTGTCTGAAGATAGTTACAGTGTGTTTGTATAAATACAATAAATAAATAAGTAAAATAATAAATTAAAATAACAGAAATAAGTTACAGTGAATCATAGGCACAGGCATAGAATCTCAACCAAATGTAACATAAAGCATTTGTGTGTGTACACACCTGCAGATGTCAGAGTCAGTATCCGATGGATACTTTGTCACTCTTCACCTCATTTGTCAAGATTGTGTCTCTCGCTGAACCTAGAGCCCACTAATCGGTGGCCTGTGAGCCTGGCCAGCAAGCCCAAGGATCCTTCTGTCTCTACCTTCCCAATGCTGAGATTACAAACTCAGACCTCTGTGCCCAGCTTCATGTAGATGGGGATCTAGACACAGGGCCTCAGGTTTGCATGGCACTTTACCAACTGTACTATCTATCTAGTGACTAATACCTAACTGCATATTCTCCAGAAAACAAAATAACCAAACAGGAAGTAAAAGGTAGCCTGGGGGTGGGACATCAGATAATAAAGCACAGTATAGCTGTTATTCAAACTTCATGGCAAGGTTGATTAAAAAATACCCAGGAATATTCCCTGTAGCAACAATATTGAATGGCAGTAAAACAAAGCACATGGATTTTTTTCTTAGAACTCCAAGATGAGACATAAGACTTTTCATCATTTCACCCAAATCTCAGAGAACTTCCTTTCTAAGACTAGGGCTATACCTGCATCACTTCAGGAAGTACTGAAAGGTGCCGCTGTGACTGTGGTAGCTGCTAGGGCAGCACGCGGGCAGCACGCACAGCTAGTGCAGCCCTTGCAGCTTTCTTTGCAAGGATGCCTGAGCTGATCCCAGTCCTTTGCCCTTTCTGTGTCAAGCGTAGAGTGGCCTTCTAAATGTCCTCCACACAAACAGATGCAGCCTCTAGGGATTTGACTGGTGTAGGATGCATTTGACATTTCCACAATACTGAGTTTCCCCGTCTGTAGCCGAGACTGATTTTCCTTGTAAGCTGACAGATTGTTGATAGACCCAAACCTAGACCAAACTTGTTGTAAGCTCTGATTTCTTTTTTTCTTGAAGAACTGACAAGAACAACAGCAGTAGCACAAGCGTGCCAGCGAGGAGACCAGGACCGCTGCCCTCTAGCTTGGATGACTTAAAGGTGACGACTCCACCTCTAGCCCTTCACCCCTGAGTGCCTTCTGTGCACATGAGCAGATGGCCAGGTCTGTCTGTCACGTGCCCAGTTGCATGTAGATGAACAACTTCAGCAGCACACTGACACCCTTTATGGAACTCTTGTCTTTTTATTCCCCTGGGCGTTAGAGCTCAGATAACTGGTACTGATGCTCATTTACTGACCGTGTGGCTTAGTTGAACATCATGAGAAGAGACCACTTCTCTGCAGCAGTTACTACAGTATCACCTGTTTCTAGTCACTGCTCACAGGCTTCTGTGCCTCCTCTGTAGACTTACGTTGTCACAGAGTGTACAAATGAAGAAAGTCTGTTTATGTGTCAGGTCCAGACATCTGGGAGTGTCAGCATCCCTCTGTGTGCAACGGAGGTATATTCTGGTATTTATGTGTGGGAAACTCATAAAACCAAACACCTGATCTGCTTTTGCTTCCAGGTGTCAGAGCTGAAGACAGAACTCAAACTGAGGGGTCTGCCAGTGTCAGGAACTAAACCAGACCTCATTGAACGCCTGAAACCCTACCAGGAAGTAACCAGTAGTAACCTTGCCACTGGCAGTATTGTGGCAGTATCATCAGCAGCTATTGTCACCAGTAGTAACCCAGAGGTCACAGTCACACTGCCAGTCACAACACTGCATAATGCTGTAACTAGCTCTATGTCCACTTTCAAGGCAGACTTGCCACCTTCTGGGTCCAGCAGTGTGCATCCATCCCATGTTGAAAATGCCCATTCTCCTCTGCCCATCTCACCATCACCCTCCGAGCAGTCCAGTCTCAGTACCGATGATACAAACATGACAGACACCTTCACAGAGATCATGACCATGATGTCACCTTCCCAGTTCTTGTGTTCATCTCCCCTGAGGGTGGCTAGCCATGAGGACAGCCTGAGCCCCACCAGCAGCACCCTGTCAACCCTAGAACTGGATGCTGCTGAGAAGGACCGCAAGCTTCAGGAGAAGGAGAAGCAGATTGAAGAGCTGAAGAGGAAACTGGAACAAGAACAGAAGCTTGTGGAGGTCCTCAAGATGCAGCTTGAGGTGGAAAAACGTGGGCAGCAGCGACCACCAGAACCTCAGCCCAGTGGCTCCCCACATCCCTTTAGTACATCAGATCTGAAACATGCCAGTGTTGGGTCCTCCATCAAAGATGAAGCCTCACTCCCTGACTGCTCCAGCCCCCAGCAGTCCATCCCAGTGCCTGGCCATGCTGTAGGCCAGCCCATCTCCACAGGTAGCCAGACCCTTGTTGCCAAAAAGGCTGTGGTCGTCAAGCAGGAGGTCCCCATGGTCCAAGCAGAGCAACAGAATGTTGTCTCGCAGTTCTACCTGAGTTCCCAGGGACAGCCGCCTGCTCTTGTTGCTCAGCCTCAGACCTTACTGAGCACACAGACAACTCAGCTGCTGTTACCCGTGTCCATCCAGGGTTCAAATGTTACTTCAGTGCAACTCCCAGTAGGCAGCCTCCAGCTCCAGGTACGAAGTGTGTCTCACAGTGTTGCCTTAGAGTGAATCCTGCAGCCAGCCCTGAGCTGTTGTACAGCTACTATGGGCTACAGTTTTGGAAGGCATGGTGTGGGTGTGGGGGCAGGGTTGGTCTGGCTAGCACTGTGTTTACATCATAAAAACCAGCAGGGTGGCCTCCTGTTCTATCCCCTGTTCTCTTAGATCCACATGCAGGGCTGTTGAGAGCACATTCTGCTCTCAGAGCACACTCGTTCAGTTTCCAGTACTAGCATCAGGCAGATCACAGCTGTCTGTAACTTCGTCCCAGGAGATCCTATGCCCTCTGATTTCCTTGGGCACCTGCACATGTGCACATAAACTCAAAAAGGCATACAGATACAAAAATACATATTTAAAGATTAATGACATTAGCATAGGCTATGTGTCTTGAATACCTCACTCTCTGCCCTGGTTCTATGTAAGTGACAGTCGTCTCTAGGAGCCTGAGGACAGATCTGACATGTAAACCCATGTCTTCTGGCTGGGGGTGGTGGCAGGTGTCCTATACCTGTTCTTGGAACGTGCCATTTATATAATAATGCTTCAGCTGAGAAAAACATGGAGTGGGGTTGTTCTGACTACAGAGACCTGCGGGCTGGCTCTCTTGCTGTACAGTGCACGCCAAGTGGACCTTACCCAGATGTGGCCATAAGGAAAACAAGAAGCCATTTGAGCCAGAGCTTAAGCTTTAACTGCCCAGTACCTGTGACAGAAATGAGCTCACACCGTGGTTCAGGAGGCAGTGCCCAAACACTCTCAACAAGTGTAAAGCAATCTAACGCCCCTGCTTGGTGTGCAGAGGTATGCAGAGTACCTGTGAGTTAGAAATCTGCTCTATAGCATATATTAGGAGGCAGTGGATCCAAATCTTTTCTTGTAGTTGATACAAGAACAAAGCCTGTTTTCTACTGGGTCTATGTATAGCTGTCTGTCCAGCATCTCCGACTGTTCTAGATTATGTGTGCTACAAGCTTAAAAGCAGTACTGTAGGCTGGTTGGATATCAGAGGGGCTCCTACATGGGTTACAGACCTATAATGTGCAGAGCTGGCTTGTTTCTGTTTTCTGCCTTCAAAAATTTTCAAGTGAAATCGTGGCCACACTAAGGACGAATGAGGTCATCAAGACAGCTGTCTGGCATTTGTCACTGGTTTAGGATTGTCATCGAGTTCACTCAAGGAATGTTACTAGAAGTCCCAGCATGTTGTTCGGGTTGGTGGCTGTGTATAATGAAGTACTCTGTTTCTCATGAAACTAGACAATTTTTAACCCTCAGTCCCCATCTCCAGGGAGGCGGGGAGGGATGACAGAGAAAGGGAAAGATTGCTAAAGATGAGATGTATGCAGATAGACCGTAGTGTGTGACTGTAACCATCGTGTCATGTCGTCTTAACGATGGATCCCAAAGCAGACAGTTAAACTGCATTATAAACTCAATGCCAGATATGCTTCTAACACTAAGATTAATTTTTGTTTACTTCCTAGACCTCAGCACAAGGAGGAGTCCAGGCTCAGCCTCAGGTAGCTGGTGCCACACAGGTCCCAGCTGCAGCCCTGCCCTCAGCCTTGGCCTCGGCACTGCCTCAGAAGCAGGAAGCCTTCCCACAGCATGTGTTGGGACAGCCTCAGCCAGTCAGAAAGGTGGGGTGCTTACAAAGACAGACTAATGCTACTCTTTTTTTGTCACCTCGGCCCTGTCAGTAAGCATCATCCCAAAAGCCTGTTCTTTTGGAAGGCTGTAATCCTCAGCCATAGAACAAACCTTGGATCCAAAGCTATTTGAACACAGATACTTTGTCTAGGACTGGGGGAAATCTTTACTGTTAAATAGTCCAAACCTTTTCCAACAAAGTTCCCAGAGCATGTTTTTATAATTCTGGCATGGTAGATTTGTTGAATTTTGAGGTATATTTCTTTTCCAATTAAATATGCTGTTCCATGGGGAAGGGTTGTTGAAGGATACTTCTGGGATTTCTCTATCAAGTTAGAACTTTATGTGCTTATCTGTAAGAGTCTATGCCCCATCATGGAGGAAGAGCTGGGAGATCAGGTGTCACACACCTGTGATCCCATCACTGGGAAGGCTGAGGGCAGCCTGGGCTACATAGTCAAACCCTTTCTCGGAAAAAGGGAGAAAAGAGAAAAGGATGTAACCTCAAAAACATGTTCTTTTTTTTGTTTGTTTGTTTTTGTTTTTTTTGTTTTTCAAGACAGGGTTTCTCTGTGTAGCCCTGGCTGTCCTGGAACTCACTCTGTAGACCAGGCTAACCTCGAACTCAGAAATCTGCCTGCCTCTGCCTCCCAAGTCCTGGGATTAAAGGCGTGTGCCACCACTGCCCGGCTTCAAAAACATGTTCTTATCCTGGGTCTTCACTAGTCTCAGAGCCTGGATCTTGAACAGATAATTAGGCACCGCAGTCTGTAAACTCAGGTAATCCTGAGCCATGGGTGCTAAGGTAGCCTGAGGGTGAAACAAAGGGCCCAGCTTATCAACAGCAGCACTGACATGAGTGAAAATGGAAAACAGTTATACATGACCAAGCCAAGAAGCTATAAATATGTAGTTCTGTAAGTTTAAAGGAGGCTCAGCTTTCTTTGGTCTAGGGAAGAGAGGCCGCAGTGATAGACAGTATAAATTAGGGTTTCTCACTTCATCTGGGAATTCTGGAGTTAGGAGTCATTATTTCCATAAAGCGATGTTTGCCACAAACAAGGAGATTGACAAACAGTACATACATTTGTAGACAGACATGAGTACTCATGTACTGTCATGGTAAGAAATGGTTACATTGGTGCTGGAGAGATGCTTAAGTAATTAAGAGCACCAAGTATTCTTCCAGATTGAATTCCTAGATCCACCTGGCGATTTACAGCTGTCCAAGGGGATCTGACACCCGCTTGTGACCTTCATGGCACCAGGCATGTACATGGTACACAGATATAAATGCAAGACAAAATACCCATACACATAAAAAATAAATCTAACAAAAGAAAGACGTATCTGTCCATGGTGACATAAGGGAGAAGCCACTTTGTTTGAGGACATTGGTGGTACAGTCCTTATGTTGGTGATAAAGCCAAGCCCCGTAAGACACAGTACTGTGTAAGTAATGTGGCCCTTAGTTTATAGCCATCATCCACACTGTGCCTCTTCATGGAGCCATAAGAAACACTCGAGAGTGCCATGGAAACTTTCCCTTTGGCCTGCTGACACAGAAATCGGTTCTTTAGAAGGGATGAGACACAATTGCTGACCACATGACCGGCATGTCGCTGAGAGGGCTTGAGCAGCATCCCTCCCAGGGGTGGTCCAGGATTAGGATTAATGAACTGAGACGTGCTAAGGGAAGAGGTCTGCAGGTAGCCCCATGGGCCCAAGCTACAAAGAAGGCCGCACTGAGTGCAGAGCCACGGAGGCCACCCTCTGAGCTAGAGTAGCCATGAGGCAGAGAGAGCAGGTGAACAGCCCAGGATGTCCAAAGAGATGACGTGCGTGGGTGGCAGGCAGAACCCTATATCTGGGAAGGGGACCAGATCACTTCAATGATGAACAAGAAAAACTGCTTGAGCCGTCTCCCATAAGATAGTATCTACATGGTACCCACAATCCACCAGTGTCTGCAGATCTGGTCCTGTTGGCAGCTGCCTTGTCTCCCAACTGTCCAAGGTTGCCTTCATGCTCCTGACAGGAGGAAGCTTCCAGCAGAGACTCTCTGGCCCACAAACCTAGAAGGTGGATTTGTTAGCCTCTGCTCTAAAACATGGGTTTTCTTAAATTCACTGTCACAGGTCTTCACAAACTCAGCACCAAACACAGTTCTTCAGTATCAGAGGCAGCCTGGCCCAACGACCCAGCAGCCCTTTGTCAATAACACCTCTAACCCTGCTCTTCAATCTAGAAGTGCCCCACTGGCACCCCTGCAAAATGGACCTAGCCCAGCCAGCAAGGTAAGCCATAGTGATGACAGCACTAGAGTGCTGTCAGCTTCCCTAAACCCATGCCAACTGCCCTAGACTCATGCTGGCTGCCCTGTACTCATGCTGGCTCCCCTACAGTCATGCTGGCTGCCCTACAGTCATGCTGGTTGCCCTACAGTCATACTGGCTGTCCTACAGTCATGCTGGCTACTCTACAGTCATGCTGGCTGCCCTACATTCATGCTGGCTGCCCTACAGTCATACTGGCTGCCCTACAGTCATACTGGCTGCCCTACAGTCATACTGGCTGCCCTACAGTCATGCTGACACCTGGAATGTATAGTGACCAGTGCTGGTTCTGCAGGATGAACAGACAGGGACTTAACATTCCTGCCTGATTAGCCACCAGTTGTCAGCTGCCCAGTACTTGGGATACTGAGCCACTATGGATAGAACAGCACAGTTGTGTCACTATGAGAACACATGACTGGCCCAGAACTAACAAGTATTTCTCCCTTGTTTGATACAGCCTAGCTCACCACCCCCACCCCAGCAGTTTGTTGTCCAGCACTCTTTGTTTGCAACCCCAGTCACAAAGACAAAAGATCCACCTCGATATGAGGAAGCCATCAAACAGACTCGCAGCACCCAGCCAGCCCTTCCAGAGGTAAGTGTGGTCACAGTCATACCCCAGTCACATTTCAGGGCTTCCTCAGATTGTTCCAGTCCTCTGTTAAAACACAGAGATAACAGCTAGAAGCTTTATATTTTATCTGGCTGGTTTTTTGTTTGTTTTGTTTTAATTTTTTATTGGATATTTTATTTATTTACATTTCAAATGTTATCCCCCTTTCCTGATTTCCCTTCCGCAAACCCCCTGTCCCATCCCCCACCCTGCTTCTATGCGGGTGCTCACCCCCCCACTCTCTCCTCACCACGTTGACATTCCCCTACACTGGGGCATCGAGCCTTCATAGGACCAAGGGCCTCTCCTCCCATTGATGCTAGATAAGCCCATCCTCCGCTACACATGCAGCTGGAGTCATGGGTCCCTCCATGTGTACTCTTTGTCTGGTGGTTTTAATTGACCATAAAGACTGCAAACCACTTGCCTACAGCAAGTGTTGGGAGCAGCATTGATGGTGGGGCTTCAGGCAAGAGGCGTGTCTCCTTGGAGCCCTCCTGGGTCGAGTGAACAGACAGAGAGCGCTCAGTTACACAAGGCATCAAGCCTCAATTCACCTAAACTCGTCTAAGCCCTGTTTCTCCAAAACTCCCTTTCACAGCTAAGGACTTCCTGATGAGAAAGGATTGTAGCCTGCCAGAGGACCTGAGGGATGGACCTGACAGTAGGACACAGTGGATACAAGCTAGAACTGACAACAATTGGCCAGACCTGTGTGCAGCCCCATTCCCCTTATTTTGTTTGTCAGGGACACATGGCATCCTGCTGTATTTGCTGTCTAAGGCATGAAGGGTGAAGAAACGCACAGTGACCATCTGCTGTAGTTTACAGGATGTAGAGGTAGACAGCTCTCCTAATTGTGAGCATCCAAAATCAACAAAGACGTCACCTGTGAAGAAAAAGCCAGATTTTTAAAAAAGCTTAAACACTGTAGAAAGAATTGAAACCAACAGATCCTGGCCTGCCCTTCTCCAGTCCATTTGGAAGTGAGATCTCTTCCCTGGGGAGTAAAATGAACTGCCAGGTAGTTTTAGTGACCGCAAGAAGGCAGCCCTTACTGAGGAGCATGCCTCTCATGTGCAGACTCACTGGCACTACCCAGAAGCCAGCAGGAGTACTGGGGTTACATGTCTCTGGGTTCAGTTCCTAGGTTGAAACTGCCAGTTCTGCATCAGCACCTTTCAGTCACACTGGGAAAGACTTCAACTCTACCAAGGACTGAGTGGGGCCCTACTAGCTCCACCTTCCCAAGGGTAACAGCTATAATCTACATTTGCCGGGGAGTCTTGCTAGCAGTCAAGGTTTCTGGTAGAAAGGAATAGTCGCTATGACCAGCAAACCACAGGTACCAGCTGTGAGCTACTGACAAGAAAAATCAAGATAAGTCCTAAATTCCATGTCCACAGCCTCACCAGAGACTTGGCATAGATACATAGCAGCCTAGCTAAAGACAGAATACAAACTGAGACTGGGAAATCCAGGATACAATGAGAAGACCAAATCTAAGGATAATAGGTATAGAAGAGAGTGAAGATTCCCGACTTAAAGGACCAATAAATATCTTCAACAAAATTATAGAAGAAAACTTCTCTAACCTAAAGAACGAGATGCCCGAGATGCCCATTAACATAGAGGAAGCCTACAGAATGCCAGATAGACTAGACCAGAAAAGAAATACCTCCCATCACATAATAATCAAAACACCAAATGCACAAAACAAAGAATATTAAATGCAGTAAGGGAATAAGGCCAAGTAACATATAAAGGCCAAACTATCAGAATTATACCAGACTTTTCACCAGATACTATAAAAGCGAGAAGATCCTGGACAGATGTCATACAGACCCTAAGAGAACACAAATGCCAGCCCAGGCTACTGTACCCAACAAAACTCTCAGTTACCATAGATGGAGAAACCAAGATATTCCACGACAATACCAAATTTACACAATATCTTTCCACAAACCGAGCACTACAAAGGATAATAGTAGGAAAGCTCCAATACAAGGAGGGAAATTATATCCTAGAAAGAGTAAGAAAGTAATCCTCTTCCAACAAATCCAAAAGAAGATAGCCACACAAACAACACCACTGCTAATAACAAAAATAACAGGAAGCAACAATCTCCTCTCTTTAATATCTCTTAACATCAATGGACTCACCCAATAAAAAGACATAGGCTAATGGACTCGATACGTAAACAGGACCCAGCATTTTGCTGCATACAGGAAACCCACGTTAGTGACAAAGACAGACACTACCTTAGAATAAAAGGCTGGAAAACAATTTTTCAAGAAAATGGTCCTAAGAAACAAACTGGAGTAGCCATTCTAAAACCTCCAGCCTGAGAACACAAAGGGAGGACTCATGGCTTCACCTGTATAGTTAGTTGAGGGTGGCCTTGTCAGACATCAGTGGAAGTGGAGGGCCTTGGTGCCTGAAAGTTTGGATTCCCTAGTGTTGAGGAATTTGAGAGCAGGGAGGCGGGAATGGGAGGATGGTGGGGACACCCTCATAGAAATAGGAGGAAGGGGGATGGAATAAGGGATTGGGGGGGGGGGAATGGGAGAGGAGATAACATTGAAAGGTAAATAAAATATCCAATTTAAAAAAAAAACAGATAATGGATCTGGCAATTGTAGTTGAGCAGTTGAGACTTTTTGTGAACAATTTATTACGGGGATATCAGATAATCTTCAAGGACAAGGCATTGTGGAAGAAGCCCATGGAACTTTAAAAAGATTGATGAGACATACTGTTGCTGAGACAAAGAATGATGCCAGCCTGTGAGCTTGCTGAGTGCCCTGACAAGGGTGACTGGGAAGCTGTATTGAACATATCTTCCTGACCTGCCTTTGTTTGACTGTATATCCCAGATGGGACAAGCTGCCTTGCCTCAAGTCTTTAGACTTTATGGGATAGAGAATCAAAAAGAGAAATTATGTCTCTTGTATTCTTCTTAAAGGTGCCCAGCTATTAGGACTCAATCATGTACTGGTCTATAAATCAATCAGTTATGGGAAATAACAGTCTACTTTTGGAAGACTGGATCTGGACTTTGTCAGAGACATATTTGGAAGCTAGCTATAGTTCAATATGATGTTAGGATAGCAAGAGATAATGTTGGGACAGGATCTGGATTTCAAACAAGGGTTAGTGCATGTTTTAAGGCTCTTTTAATTGTCAAGCTAAAATTGGTTTTGTCTCTTCTACAGCATTTATTGTAAGTTGCATTGACTATATAATTTCCAATTGTGTTAGTGTGTTGAAACCTGACATGTCTGTTACAGGGTCTATCAACCAGCTTTCATCTCACTGCCATAAGTATTAGAAAACCTTGATTCTCTGAAAAAAAGCTAGAAAGTGCTGGAAGAAGTGAGTTAGCCTTTAAGCAGAAGCAAGAGGGTAGCAGGCTTGATTATTGCTGGTATAGCAGCTTTAATTCCATTAATTGCTAACACCACTGCTTCTGCAATAGCATTGATGCAAGGAGTTAAGACAACTATTTTTGTTAACCATCTAGCAAAAAAAATGTTACTAATGTATTGAGTATACAAAAGGATTTATATAGGTATCTGGAACAACATATGATGCTATATAACCCATTCAAATTATCTGAAGGAGATTCAGGGTTCAAGAGTTAGGAGCCATCCCAAGTGTCATGACAAATATCACTGGAGTAGTGTTACTTTTGAAATTCACAATGATTGTCATTATAATTAGAAAAAAGTTTAAAGACACCTGTAGGATATTTGGCATAATCCTAATACCTCTCTGTGTATGTTAACTTTGCATAGTGAGATTATGGATTTAAAGAATGCTGCTCTGTTGACCTTTGATGCTGCAGATAATGCAGATAAAATTATTCATGGCCTGAGCTCAGTATTTCCGTTTTGTTCAAACCTCAGGAATGGCATATATAGCTTGATCAGGCTAGCCCTTCTTGCCCTGGGAATACTTTTATTCCTGCCCATTGTGTTAAAGCTTATCTTTAACAACATCAACATGTTGGCAGCCAAAGTACATGGCTTGAACCTGAAAATGGACCCCCAGACAGAGTTATTAAATTAACAGGCTGACAAGCCAAGGATGGGTAAGATTCTGCACAGAGCCTTGCCAACCTAAGACAGAAGTGCATTGCCTTTGATAATGCATATACCATGATGGGTAAGGAAGGCATTCTTGTCAGAATGACCTAAGACAGGCTCAGTCTTGTTAACGAAATAAAACCGGGGTTGGGGGGAGGTGGAGAGCCTTTGGGGCTGCTTGTCAAGAAGCTGACATGGGCCAAGGACAAGAAAATAGGCTGCTTGGCAGGAATATGACATTGGACAAGGACAAGGAAGTAATTTCAGGTAGGAATCTAAATCGTAGGCTACAACAAAGAAGTAACCTCAGGCAAGAACCTTAATATTAGGCTAGAACAAACAAGTAATTTCAGACAGGAATCTAAATTTTAGGCTAAAACAAGGAAGTAGGCTTCAGACATGAAAATGACTTTGGGCTAGGACAGGGAAGTAGGCTCAGGTACTTTGGTCATCTTGATAAGCTTTTAGAAACAGTGATCACGGGAGTGTTCACGGAATTGGGTTTAATGCCTTGCTTTTTCTTTGACTATTTGTGTTTATTGTCCTGCTTATTCCTTGACTATTTACATCTATTGTATTGCTAGACCCTCAACCTAGAACTGACCTTAATACATGCATGTAATCAAAATGGTATAAAAGCATAAAGGAAGAGGGGGTATAAGATAGGGGGTTTTAGGGAGGAGAAATGGGGAAAGGGGATGATATCTGTATTGTAAATAAATAAATATCCAATAAAAAAAAACGAAAAAAAAATGTAATGCCAGATATCAAAAAAAAAAAAAAAAAAAAAAAAAAAAACTCCCGAAGTGCCATTCAGTTAAAGTAAGGCACATAGGGAAGTCAGAGACTTCTTCCTTGGCTCTTAGTTGATCTAGCATGCTGTGGTGTTTTGGCTTAAATAGCAAGTTGGCTATTTTCTAGACTACCAAATGTTAGAGTAAAGCCAAGGTTCAGTGTATCCCTGGTGCAGGCAGCTAACTCTGCTCTCCTTGGCTTCAGGTTTCCAGTGTGCACAGTCAGCAGATGGATGACCTCTTCGATATCCTCATAAAGAGTGGAGGTAGGTCAGAGGCTGGATGCAAGCCCAAGGGAAGCAGCCACATACCACATACCAAAGCTGGATGTTGTCTTGGAAACTAAGAAACATCCAATTCTAACAGTGGGAAGTTATAAACCTGATCAAGCATGGCCATTAAACCATATAACAGAGGAAAGAAAGCCCTTCAGTTCCACATTGAAGGATGGCATGATGTTAGATCCCCCATAGCTGTCACCTGGAAAAAAGGAAAGACTTCTCACACATCAGAGCTTGGTCACCTCTAAACTCTGCTGGTAACTGCAGAGCATGTTCTATGGACCAATCTCATCATGGACGAGAACTTTCCAGTAACTTGGCCTAGGCTCCCTCTAGTTCTATTAAAATTCAGAGTATGTCTACATATTAGTCATCAGGGCTAGTAAGATTATTCAGTGGGTAAAGGTGCTTGCTGCCAGGTTTAATGACCGGAATTTGGTACCAAGAATCCACATCATGGAAGAGAACTAACCCCCACAAGTTGTTCTCTGACCTCTACACACATGCTCTGGTAGCATGCACATACGTAAGTAGTAACCTGTAGTTAAAAATAAAGTAAGCCATCAGTTTATAGTGTGTTGTCTTTAAACCAGATATTAACACACACACAAAATGGCTGCCTCGGCTACTAGGATGGTTGCAGCCCAGTGGCAGAGCACTGCAGTACAAATGTGAAGTGCCATATTTCATCCCTGCCATACCACATACACACGCATATATACACACACATGCATTCACAAAGGTCAGATGATACCATATCAAAGTCCTGTGGTGAAAGAAGTCTTAGAGTTTGAAGTAGTAATTAATATTTCTCCATCTGTATTGAACACATCTGAGCAGGTGCTGATGCCCCAGCAGAGTCCGTGGCATAGTGAAAAACATTGCCATCTGCATGTAGGTCATATGAATAAGTGAAAGTCTGCTGAGAACTGTATTGGTCTTTTAAAATATGTTAAACTCATGGTTAACATAAACTGAAAACTTGGGAATTAAAAAATAAATGTGTATTTAAAAATCAGGCATATAATTTTTGCTCAATCTGATAAAGATAAGTTTTTTCCAATGATTAATAATAATACTTATGGGGCTGAAGAGATGGTTCAATGGCTGCTCTTCCAGAGGATTCAGGTTCATTCCCAGCAACCACATGGTGACTCAAACCATTTGTAATTCCAGTCCTAGGGGGAATCCAGCGCCCTCTTGTGGCCTCCATGGGTACTGCATACATATGGTACACAGACATACTGAGCTTTTAAGTTTATGGTTCATTAAACCCTTTCCCCTACTGTATGCTCCAGAAAAATGAGAAAGAATTGAACATGGTGGCACATAATTTAATCTCAGGACTCAAGAGATAGAGATAGGCAGATCTCTCCAAGTTCTAAGCAGCCTGGTCCACATATCGAGTTCCAAATCAGCCAAGGCTAAACATAACAAGAACACATCTCAAAACATCAGTGGAGGAAGTTATTAAAATTCATCTAAGTGAGCACTGGCATGTCCTTAACAGAAAGTCTGTTGGTTTGCCAGTTGGCCTGTTAAAGAGTCAATATGGTCACATAGGGAGATGACTCCATCCGTGTGTGCTGGAGGACCTCAATTTGGTTCCCCCAGAACCAAACAAAACAAAACAAAACAAACAAACAAACAAACAACGTAGACACAGTAATGTATGCCTATAGTCCTGGTGTTGGGAAGGCGAGTACAAGTGGATCCTTGGGGCTTTCTGGCCGGCCACTGGGGCTGAGCAGACAAGCCCAGTTCAGAGATGACCCCGTCCCAAAACTTAGGGCTAGATATATTTGAGGAAGACATTGGCATCTATCTATGGCTTACACACACAGAACCATGAAAAATTAAATAGACTGGGACTGGATAGATGGCTCAACACATAAGAACATTTTCTGTTCTTGCGGAGGACTAGAATTTGGTTCTCGCCATCCATGCTGGATTCCTAAGTGCCTGTAACTCTAGCTCAGCCGATCAGACAGCCTCTTCTGGCTTCCATGGGTTCCTACACACAGGAGCACATTCACACATGTATACATAAGTAAAAATTAATTTTTAAGAATAAGTTAATAGTTCAGATAACTCCGAACAAGAACTCAGAGCAGTGGCTGAGCTGCCTCACCTTAAGGAAGAAGGACAAAAGCGACGTCAGCCTTGAGTTATTGATAAGGTATATTGTGTCTGCGTTGTAACTCTCTAGATGGTATTGACAAACTGGAGTGCCGTCCAACTATAATACGTTTTTAAATTAATTTTTAAAAGAATTAGATTTCATGCTATTTCTGCCTCTACGATGTAAGAAAGGGTGACAGAATAGTCACTAGTATAGTTCAATGGCAGCAAATACTAACACCATCAATTCTTCTGCACAGAAATTTCCTTCCCGATAAAAGAAGAGCCTTCTCCAATTTCCAAGATGAAACCAGTGACAGCCAGCATCACCACAATGCCAGTCAATACGGTGGTATCTCGACCACCACCCCAGGTCCAAATGGCACCACCTGTATCCTTAGAACCTGTGAACAGTTTATCTGCCAGCTTAGAGAACCAGCTAGAAGCCTTCTTGGATGGAACTTTACCCTCAGCCAATGACATTGCCCCTCTGCAGAGCAGCAGCGAAGATAGAGAGCCTTTCTCTCTGATCGAGGATCTCCAGAATGACTTGCTGAGTCACTCCAGCATGCTGTGCCAGTCTCACTCTCCCATGGAGACCTCTGAGGCCCAGTTTGTGTCGGGGACCCCCTGTCTATCTCTTGACCTGTCAGACTCCAACCTGGACAACATGGAGTGGCTAGACATCACCATGCCCACCACATCCTCCGGGCTCACTCCCCTGAGCACCACTGCACCAAGCATGTTCTCTGCGGAGTTTCTGGACCCACAGGACCTGCCACTGCCATGGGACTAAGGTCACAGGTCTCTTGTTTGTGAGCTTGTGAAATTTGGAAACATGAAAACAATCCTGAGAGGCCAGTGTTGGGAGCTGGAGCCATAGCAACACTGTTGAAGTTAAAATCCATTGTCATAGAAAAAGGAAGGCCACAGCCTGGAAGCCAAGCATGAAAGACTCCACAGAAACAGTCGTATGTAGAACCCTTGTGAAATGCCTTAGATCAAGCCAAAAGTCAGGTACCATCCACAGGAAGTGGCACTAGGCTCTGGTCATCAGCTACCTTTCATCCTCTGTGGTCACCTCATGGCCCTAATAAGAGACAAGCAGCTCCATTTGAAACACCAGGCCACCAAGAGGGAGGGAAGGGAGGAGCCACTGCACATGTGCTCCTTAGAGTAGCATAAGCCAACCAGGTCAATAGCAAACCAGAGGCACCTGAGCACTGAGCAGCTGGCAGCAGCATCTAGCCAGAGGCTCCGAGTCCCACTCTGAAATCTGTGTGACTTTGTGATGTCATAGGTCATTTTGTGAGTTGGGAATCAAAATGAACAACCTTTCACCATAAACATATCTACAAAATACTGTCACACAAGAGCCCAGTGTACAGAGGCCAGATACATTGATAGTGCTGCAACTGCCCTAGTGGCCTCAAGTGGAGGAAGTTGGTTCTCCTGTGATGTTAGACATTGGAATGTGCTTTGATCTTAGAGTAAAAAGTTGGCCGTTGACTGGTTCTTCTTGAAATAAGTCAGATATCTCTAGAGTACTGAGCCACAGTGTCTCCATCCTTGAAGACTTGCCGACAGACTCTCTCAGGTGACCATGCCCATCTCAAAGAACCAAAAAAGGCTTCAGCATGAAATTCCTTTTCAACCTAATGAGTTAGAAGAATGGAAGGTGTGGGCTGGCTGTCAGACTCTAGGACAGTCCACCTTGAGCACAGGTTAGACCAACCTCCTGTTACCAGTTCCCTGGTTCTCATTGCATAGGCTTGTAACTTCTCAAGCCTGAGCCTAAAAACTGGAGGTTTTATTCCTTTCTTTCTTTCTTTTTTTTTTTTTTTTTTGCTTTATCTGTAACAGAAAGGTTATGTTTGTCAAGTGGTTTAAGAATTTTCTAAAATGCCAACTGCCACAGGATTTCCATAACTCTTGATCTAGTGATTTAGTTATTGACAAATTATAAATAACTGAGCAGAGTATGGAATTTTTATTCAGTGACAGCCCTTGTCTTAATCCGCTTCCTACCCACTTTAACCTGAGCCTTCCTGTGTTAATCCACATGCCTCTTCCACAGTCCATCCAGGAAGTCTTCTGACCCAACATCTAGTGATCAGAATGGCTCCTTGTCCTGGCTTTAACAGACTCTGGAGAACAGCAGTCTCTCATCTGAAGCTTGGCATTCTGGTGTTAAGGGCCCACTGAGCTCAGGTAATCCTCTTATTTAGAATCTGGTTGGTCAGTACTGGGAGACATCAACACTCTGGTAGCTGGATACTGTCATCTGACTAAGCCTTCTGAGGGCACTCTCACAGGTCGGGATGTAATACATTGGTTCTGCTACACAGCTGCTTGTGTCCTGGCCCCAGCTGAGGATCTGAGAAGGTGCGTTCCCCGTGGGAATTTCAGCTCTAGGTTTTGGTGGGGGGCTTTAGTCCTCTCTCTCCAGCTTTGAGTGTCCAATTAAAGGCAGTGGGTTTCTGGAAGCCCATAATTCGTACTAGTGTGTTTCCTCCTGTAGACAAACATCAGTGTCTGTAATCCAGAGTTGTGAGTAGTGAGTTGTGAGTAGCCTCAAGTCCCTTGTGTTGCTTTCTAAGTTATTTTGAAGCTTGCCACATGAAAGACAATCTCCAAACACAGTGGGTACAGAGGAGGTCATCTCAGTTGCTCATGTAACCATCCAGCCTTCAGTCCATCAAGGTCCCATTTCTTAAAAAGGCAAGGGGCCTCCAGCCACTGGCTTCACTAGCACCCAACTCCCCCACAGCATTCCTTGACCTACTCTCCTGGTTTGAGCATCCTTTAGGTACATGTGACACCAGTGACATGAGAGCCACTTGCTAGGCCTCTCCCACATGTTCTGGGCAAGCGTAGGCATCTTTCCCATTGGCTCACATAAATGTATCATGATCAAAAACCATTCTATAAAAGGCCTCTTGGCCTAGCCCCAGCCCTCAGTGAGTACATTGGAAAAGCTGTGTGTCTGAAGATGAATTTGTTGTTTAAAGCTAGTTTCAGGCCAGCAAGATGACTCAGCAGATAAAGCCTGCCAACAAGCCTGAGAGACAAAGCTTAAGCCCCAGAGCCTGTGTGGTGGAAGGACAGAACTGACCCTGCCCGCAGTTGTCCTCTGACCTCTATATACAGAGACACCTGCACAGGTGTAAAGTTATTTCCCAGCCACTAAAGCACAGGTCAGAGAGCCCATTCCATCCCCACTGTGCATGTACACGGTACACGTGGACTGCAGGCTTCTGTTTGTATCATGTTGCCAAGAAAATTCCTACTAGAAGCCTGGAGTGTCCAACCCCAGCCTCACTCTTCTGCATCGTCCCACAGCATAGTGGTATCAACTTGACTTTCTGATGTACAGATTTCCAGTTGTCTTACTCTGGTGGGAGGAGTAGAAACAATTACACCATGGCTTCTAGAAAGCTGATGTGGCTGTGACCTTGTACATTTCAGCAAGGCCTCTCTAGGAAGCCTCTGCGGCTGCGGCAGTGCTCACTCAATCACTCAGGCATCCAGTCAGCATGGATGCCCTGAATTCTTGAAACTTTTTGCTCAGATATCATCTCTGTTTGCTTCACACAGATATTTTCTAAGACTTATACTTTCCTTTCAAAAAGCTCCATGGTTCTTTGACTACATGCTATGCCTTACTCCAGAAAACCAGGTCTGCTCTGCAGAGTCCAGGAAATGGGGCAGTGTTGTCACCCTGCACACTCAGTCAGCCGACACTAAGGGATAGGTGAGAGTGGTGTCCACTTTGTCACCAGAGTGGACTTGGGCCTCCTGAACCGTTTTTCCAGGCAGCAAGGCTATTCTCATAGTTACTGTAGTATTGTGTGCAGTGATAGCTGAGGAGACAGCTGTCCCTTCAGTCAGGACAGCCACTTTACTATCCACAGCAGACCTGGCTCAGGCAGGTGGCCAAGAGGAGACCCCATCTTATCTGTACCCTTGCCTGTTCCCACAGTGGCCAGTCTCAGAAGCTCTGGTAGAAGGTGGGGACTCCACCACCACCAGGATTGCAGAGAATGCTGAGAGCGGTAGCTGGGTTCTGCCAGCAAAGTCACAGCCTCGCTTGCCTCTGTCCATCACACCACACAACACTGAGGACCTACTGACCCAGAGGACCATTAGTCCCAGGCTATCCCAGCACACTAACTGGAAGGCCAGGTTTATCAGGGAACACTGCTCGTGCTCACAGAAGGTGTGTTTGGAGAGCACCATCCTGAACGTTCAGCTCACTGTAAAAGATTTTTGTCAAAACTGGAAAGTAGCAGTTCTAATATAGTCGTTTTTGTTTCCTGGTTCAAACCTTCAATCTCTTTTTCATTTAAACAATCTCTGGGCTCTGTTTTTATTTGTCCAGTGACTGGGAGTGAGCAGGTTGTTTTTTCCACTGCTCGCTCTGACAGTACCTGAGGTGTTCCTGTGTCTTTGAGTTAAGGCCTACAATTCAAAAAGCTGCACGTGTTTACAAGAAGCTTTTACCCTCCACTTAGGCCCACTGCTCTGGGGAGTGGAGGTGTCCCAGGCTTGTGACAGCAGCTTGGCAATCTCAGATCTCCTAGGTGCTGTCTGGAATCATTAGAGACACCGGCAATAAAAGGAAAGCTTTATGCCAACGCCCAAGACAAAGCTTTAGTGAGTGGGCAGACTCACTGGAAAGCAGCCCAGTTGTCTTACCTCTACTTTCTGCTGTGAGGAACCCACCCACCCCACCAACAGGAGATGACGGTTTAGGAAGGGGTTCGGTATCCATCAAAAGTACTTGACCTCAAGAAACCAATAGTAATCCAAAATGCTTAAAGGAACCAAAGGCATCGCCAGGTATTTGCCAAAAGCAGCCACTTTTAAAATTTGAGACTAATGTGATCTCAAGTCAAACCCCATGAGGTTCCATTTAAGGTTATAATTTTCACAGAGTTGTAGATATTCCTTGTTTTCCTATAAAATAGCATAGAGCTGTTTTGTTGTTTTAAGAATAACATTCTTGGTAGTAGCGCTAAGTTGTCTTCTCGTATGTAAAGGTTCTGTCGCTTGCAATGGACATGCAGGTGTTTCTCTCCTTCTCATCTTCACATAATGTCTTAGCATCTCACTTCTGACAAGAAAAGAGAAAACACCAGTGGGCAGCACCATGCTTGTTTAATGAACAGGAAATCATGGCAATCGGGGGTCCATTTGTGTTGCCTTTATGTTGTTTTTTAAAGACAAACCATGATGCCTTTGTACTTGCTGTTTGCACCCCTGACTCAATTCTGTACTGTGTCTGAATGCCATACGTTTGCACTTGTACTGTACATAGGCGATGCAGACTGTATTTTTATATGTGTGCGCATTTATCATCAGATCTTTTGTACATAGTGGCAGTATTGTAGCTGATCGGGAAATGTTTGATATCTCAGCAATTTTGCATTTTTGTGTCTCAAATAAAAAAAACATTTTGATGTATGATGACTGTGTGTACAAAGGAATACACTGTGGGGCACTGTAGACTTGTGAGATGGGGCAGCCTCTGGCAGGACAGCATCTTCAGAATAGCTCCCAGCCAAGCAGCAAGTGGACCAACAGAAAGCAGGCTGCTCTCCTCATGCCCTCACACAGCAGGAGATCATAGGTACCCACTAACCTTAGCCTGACCGTCAAGACATGTTCTCTTCTCCAGAATCAGGAACCACGGAGTAGGAGGCGTTAACGTATGTGGTCAATGTCCGCAGTGAGAGCTGCCTCCTCTCTGATGGTGACAACTGTACCAACAAAACTTCCAAACACCCAGAACTGAGTCCTTTGGTTCAGTGAAGTCTCATAAGCAACTACTTACTACTATTTGGCCCATATAGAATGATCTTTACAAGTTAGTAAGTAGGGGAGAGGCATTTCAGCCAAAAGCCCATGGTTAAATTAGGCATGATGTTTTGTTGTGTGTAATTTTGCTCTACCTTTCTTTGCTCAGAGAAGAGACCATGCCCCCCACCTGGCTTCCCTTGAATCCACAGATAAAAGACACACACACACACAGTTGGTCCTTGTCTACTTGCCTTCTTGGCACAATTGCTGGACGATACTACCTCCCACCTAGAAAAGCATACCTTTATCAATTTCTTATCTCCGTCTCTCCACCTGCCCTAAGTAAAGCCAGGAAACACAGCAGTATCCCTGCAGTGGCTAGGCTAGTCCCATCTAGCCCCTGCCAAACATCCTTGACGACCCGTCTGTAGTAGAGGCCACTGGCTGCACCTCCTCCTGGACCTCACGTGGCTGCTGGGTTTTTCTCCCTCCAAAGCATGACAAAACTCCTCCTCCCCTTGCATCTCCTTTTCCTCCAGGGACCTGGAAGTCCTGCTGGTACCATCTGTCCAGCACTTGGCCCATGACTTTCTTTACTGACAGATCAAGAACCAATTGCAGAACAGGACCTTAGCATCAAAACTACCCTTACAATGTTTTATTCCCCTCTTGGATTAGAAGAAACCAATCAGTGGTAAACTTAATTGCCAGTGACAGTTGATGTGACTGTGATGCACGTGACAATCAGAGGAGGCTGATCAACAGTTGCAGAAGACAGATCTTGGGTGATCTTGGGTGATCTTGGGTGCAAGAGAGCAGTCAACAGACTAGTAAGTGGCCTTTCTGCAATGTCCCACTTGTTACAGATCCCCCTCCTGGAGGATGATACTTCACCTGAAACAAAACTGGAACACTAGGGAGGGTGTCAGGAGAAAACTCTTGGATGAGGGCAGATTCCCTGGAGACCAGCTGTGCTCTGCCCTCTGTGCAAGGCAGCAAGCTCAGCACTGAGGGTGGACTGCGGGAAGGGATCCACAAAGGAAGTACCCAGAAATTGGGGCTGAGCCTCCAGGAGACCACAGGCTCTAGGGCTACTGACCTGAAGCATTAGAATCCCCCACAAGTCACTGGGTTTTTGTTTGCTTGTTTTCTGGTAGTACTGAGCTTTAGAAAATCTTTGAGGTGTTGAGCAAAGTCTACTGAGTGTGTTAGGAGTTCTCAATACCAAAGCTTTTTAGTCAGTGATGGCTGTTAATTGATAATGGCTATGTTGTTGCAGATGGCTGATGGCTAGTGTGGTGGTTTGTATATGCTTGGCAGAGGTAGTGGCACTATTAGGAGGTGTGACCTTGTTGGAGTAGGTGTAGGATTGTTGGAGAAATGTGTCACTGTGGAAGGGGCTTTGAGACCTTCCTCCTAGCCATTTGAGAGTAAGTCTGCTCCCAGATTCCTTTGGATGAAGATGTAGAACTCCAGCACCATGCCTGCAGGGATGCTGCTGTCTTTCCTGGCTTGATAGTAGACTGAACCTCAGAACCTGTAAGCCAGCCCCAATTAAATGTTAACCTTTAAAATAAGTGGTTTTGGTCATGCTGTCGATTCACAGCAGTAAAAACCTAAGACAACTAGTTCACATGATATCCCAGCAGCACGAAATAGGCAGGAGGCTCATCAAGATCCTTAGACACCAGAGGTTATCAACAATTGCACCTGATCCCATAATTTTGGGGTTTACCATTCTCTCACCCTACTACAGTAGCATCTGCTGCTGTCTCCGCCTCTCCACCCACTCCCCTAGAACCTGAGCTCTCTCTGTGTGTCTGCCTTTATCCCTCTGCCTCTCTGTCTCTCTCTGTCTCTGTCTCTCTCACTCTCTGCCTCTCTCTGCCTCTCTCTGCAACCCCTCTCAGTATCTCTCTCTGCCTATCTCTCTCTGACTCTGAATTGTCTCTCTGCCTAGCTCTGCTGTCGTCTCCGCCCTCTTCCCCTCCTTCTTTCTCCCTTTCCTTCCTTCCCTCAGGTAGTCATGTAAAGGTTTGACAGTTGCTGAAGGAAGACCCCAGACTCAGTATGCAAAGACAAAGAGCACTTATTCTGCAGAAACAGCCAGCATGTGGGGGGCAACCATTCATCAAAATAGTGACCCCAGACAAAGGTGGGCAGGTCTCCTTATAGAGAGCCAGGGGACTCTCTAAAAGGATTGGGTCATCTAAAATTTCATTGATGGGTTCTAGGGCATCACAGGTGGTCAGTGGTCTTCATTCCTACGTCATGAACGTTTAACTATCGGATAAGATAGGGCTGATGGCCTAGCAAAGATGGCCCATTCTGAGATAAGATATTTTCTTGTTGTTTGTGGTTATCCCCAGGCTGTTCTTTAGGAGGGGCTTTTATGACCTTGTTTCTGTATTTTATGGTCTGTTCCTGGAGCTGGTGCCTATGGCCTTCTTTTTGAAATCAGGCCTGGTCCTTAAATGGAGACAAATGGAGTTTATGTCATCCTTTCAGTCACATGTAATTCTCCTAGGTTCACTTCCCAAGTGCCAGGATTACAGCCATATGTCACTGCACCCAGTGTATGTGATACTGGAGATGCTAGCAAGCACCCTACCAGCTGAGCTACATTCTGTTCCTTTTCGCTGTTTTCAGACAGGGTCTTGATAACTTGACCTGACTGGTCCTACACTTGTTCTGTATACAAGTGTGGCCTTGAACTTCCTCAGTAGCTGTGGGACCGTAAAAGGTAGCTTGGTCCCCAGTTGAGCTAAGGCTCGAAGCCCCGGAGACCCTGAAGGGACAGAAGGCACTTTGCCTGATTCCCAGGCACCAGGCCCCTGTCACTAGCTGCAGCCCCCCATAGATTTGTGGCCATCAGTCACATAAGGACAACGCCCTAAGCCCCTCCACTTGTAGAGGATGTGACCTGTGGTCATATAGGCTCAAGACAGATCTCCATTTTGATGAGGTACCTAAAGGCCTGAAGGACTTAGCCAATAAGCTTTCCTTCCCAGACACTCCTCCCTGCAAAAGGTCTTTAACCTCAGACCCGTCATGAGAAGTGCGGTATGGTTTTACTCCTCCACTTTCTGCCATGACAATAAATGCCTTAATACCATGAACTGCGTCTTTTTATCAGGATCTGTCATGGGGAGCCATAGAGCCACCATCTAATCTCCCAAAGAAGGCCTCTCTGTGCTCCCAGCCAAGGCTGCCACCAAGCTCAAGTCTGCTGCAATCAAGCCAAGGACTCTCCCCAAGGGACCAGCTGGAAAGTTTCCTTTCTTCCCCAGCTCTGGGCTAGATTCAGCCCGCGGGGGCCCCCCACTCTGTTCTCAGCTCTTCCAAGGCATCCAGCAGCACCTGGATGTCCAAGGGCCTGAGAACCAGACGGCCCCTGGCCTTGTTGCAGGCCCAGGGACCCTGAGCCAGCTCAGGCTGTCCTGTACCTCAGACTGCATTTCCCCACCCCCAGAGCAGTGTCCTGCAGTTTCCCTATGGGGCCAATACCCACCCAGCAACAGATTTGGGTAAGTGCAGTCAATTTCCTGCATCTGGCTTCCAGAGCAGCCATGCCCTGTGGTGGAGCTGACGTGAAACTCCAACAACTCTACAAGTAGCAGGGGTTCCAGGCCATCTGAGGTGGCAGGCGACCCGGATTGTTCTGCTGGAACTATAATATTCATATGGCTCAGAAGCCTAGTCATCACAGCCTAACTTTTCTATTCATTTATGTAACAAGAAAATATGCAAAAAATGAGAAAAGAAGCATCTTGCTGAGTTCATCAACTGCTGAGGGCCCGGACTGATGGGTATGCATGTCACAGAGTCTTCAGTAGTAATCAGTGAGGACTCAGACCCTTCCATAGGAATCAGTAAATGGCCGCTCTCACCAAGCTGACCTCAAACTCATGGAGACCCACAAGCCTCGGCCACCTGAGTGCCGGAACCAAATGTCATGCCCAGAAAGAAAGGCTCTTTAGTCTAGCTTGATCACTTAGGCACAGGTTTCAGCATGCAAGACTGCCCAGTGCTGCCAGGATTGAGAATTTAAGTTCAATTCCTCAAGATTCATGTGGAGAAAGAGAACCCATTCACAAATAAATAGAAACTTAAAACGTTCATACTTTGCAAATACAACTGACTGTAGCTCAGTAAACTATGCCAATAATGAGGCTCGTCTCAGCCCTGATTAGCCTTCAGCCTTTTTATGCCTCCTCAGTCTCTCTCTCTCTCTCTCTCTCTCTCTCTCTCTCTCTCTCACACACACACACACACACACACACACACATTTAATGAACAAATGAATGAATGGATGAATAAGTAAATAAATGCAATTTTAAAAATCTGAGAACCAAGCTTCAATCTCCAAGACCCGTGTAGTGGAAGAAGAGAAACAGTTCCCACAAGTTGTCCTCTGATTTCCACATGTGTGTGATGGCACACACACCTATACAAACACAATTTTAAATATTAAAAAAAAAAACACAAGATATAAATTTCTTCCCTGCCAAAGCCACATTTTATTGGCAAAAGTGCACTGAATGTAAAAGAGTGTGAAGCCACACCACACAAGGAGAGGCAGGAAACATCAGAAGTGCCATGCTATGCTTGCAGAAGCAAGCTACAACCAAGGCATTCATCAGAAGAGATCAATGAGAAGGCCCTGC